TTGTCTTTTCAAGAAGCTTTAACTTCTTCTGATTCTGATTTCTGGAAAGAAGCTATTAATGATGAAATGGATTCTTTGATTTCTAATAAAACTTGGAAGTTGGTAGATTTACCTCCTGGTTGTAAAACAATAGGATGTAAATGGGTTTTGAGAAAAAAAACTTAAACCGGATGGAACCATAGATAAATATAAAGCAAGGCTTGTTGCAAAAGGTTTCAAACAAAAAGAGGAACTAGACTTTTTTGATACCTTTTCACCTGTAACAAGAGTGACTTCCATTAGAGTACTTATAGTTGTAGCCGCCGTTCATAACATGCTCATCCATCAAATGGATGTTAAAACGGCATTTTTAAATGGAGACTTGCATGAAGAAATTTACATGGATCAACCTGAAGGTTTTGTTATGCTTGGCCAAGAAGATAAGGTATGTAAATTGACTAAATCTCTTTATGGTCTGAAACAAGCTCCAAAACAATGGCATGAGAAATTTGATACTTGCTTGATAGAAAATGGTTTTAAATCAAGTGAAAGTGATAAATGCATATATTTTGGAATTTTCAATAATTGTCATGTTATTATATGCTTGTATGTTGATGATCTCTTGATTTTTGGTTCAAGCTTAGAGGTGATTAACACTACTAAGTCATTGTTAAATCAGCATTTTGACCTGAAGGATTTGGGTGAGGCTAATGTAATTCTTGGCATGAAAATAACTAGAAATTATGATGGAATCTTTCTTGATCAATGTCATTATATAGAAAAAAATTTGAAGAAATATAACTATCATAATTCTAGACATGTTATGACGCCCTTATCACCTAGTGTGCATTTGTATCCCACTTTACATGATAGAGATATTCTCAATCAAAAGGAATATGCTAGTATCATTGGTAGTTTACGGTATCTTACTGATTGCACTAGACCTGATATTTCTTATGCAGTTGGAATGTTAGGGAGATTTACTAGCAAGCCTAATTCCTTTCATTGGGAGTGTATTAAACACTTAATGGGATATTTATGTGCTACCAAAAATTATGGTTTATGTTATCAAAGATACCCTGCTATACTTGAAGGATTTTGTGATGCTGATTGGAATACCTTGTTAGGTGATTCTTTATCTGTTTCAGGGTATATTTTTAAGATTGGTGGTGGTGCTGTGAGTTGGAAATCTAAAAAACAACAAATAATTGCAAAGTCAACTATGGAGGCAGAGATGATATCATTAGCACTAGCTTCTGAAGAAGCTAGTTGGCTAAGAGATTTGTTGTTTGAAATTCCTCTATGGGAAAAACCAGTGCCTCCTATACTCATTCACTGTGATAGTACTACTGCCATTTATAAGGTGAATAACCGTTTTTATAACCGTTTTTATAACGGTAAATCTAGATCTATTCGAAGGAAACATAGTATTGTGAGGTCCTACTTGGACAATGGGACAATCCACGTGGATTATATACCATCAAGTGAAAATATTGCTGATCCATTTACAAAAGCTCTGGCCAGAGAGAAGATTTGGATTACATCGAGGGGAATGGGATTGAAGCCCAAAGAATGTGGAACTTCCTATGAGGATACCTAACCCAATTCTTGAGAATTTGGGTTTCGAATGGGAAAACGAATCATAGAGAGGTCGTTGTTGAAAGATGCATAATAAAATACATATATATATTTCCATTCCCAAGATGTAGATGCATCTATCCCATAACGTATGTGAGGGTTGAGTGTTATACACTCTTAATGAAATTTGTAGCTCACTGAGTGGGGTGTCTTAGTTATGGGAGCACCCTTGACAAATTTCACCTATATGGATGTCGGAGTGGGGCCGCTCCTATGAGAATAGGGCTATTCTCTAGATCATCCATGAATACAAGATTAGGCACAAAGGCCGTAATGTGCCGGCTTACAAGCTCAAATTAACACCTGGATTATAATGTGTGTAATATGGTCTCCTATATCCTCTAAGTAGTCCTAGTTCAAGACTTTGCTCACTAGTGACTTTGGGATAGGAATCGTTGACTCACTAAGTAGAGGTTCAAGGCATTGCTACCTCTATTATGCATAATAATCCATCCTTGCCGTTAAATTCTTCATCTTCTAAAGTTCTTATTTTTAATTAAAATGGAGGGGGAATGTTATATATTTTAATTAAAAAAAACATTTATTTAAAGAATATTTTCCGTTTCATCGGTTTCTTGAATCCATGCGTTTTTTGTTTTCAAGAACCCATGCGTTTTCTGTCTTATTGAAAGTACTATCCGTTTCTGCTTTTCAAATGTTTTAAAGCAATATACATCAGTTTCAAATCTTGCTTGATTACCGGGAAAAAAAAATGTAACTTTATGTCAGTTACCTATGCCCTCTTGCTCTTTAAAAAAAAAAAAAAAAGAAATGGTTTTGTGCGTTTCCTAAAGCATAAAATCAAGTACTGTAACCGGCGACATTATTCATAGCCGGTAACATTTTGGAAATCATTCACCAGTTTCAAAATTGTTTTAAACATCAATTTCAATTTTTTGTAACCAAAAAAATGCTATTTCAAATTTTGATAGTTTCTCATTTACTCTGGTCATGCTGTGTGAAAGCCTATAAAAAGGCAACCTCCGTCTGTACCAAGGCTGGATTTTTTTTTTCCTTTTCATAATCTGCACTCCTATTCTAAAAAAAACACAGCATTCAAACTCTTTTTGGGCAAGGAAAAGGTGGTGGGGTAGAGCTTTCTTTACAAGAGTGCAGTACTTGTAAAGACACAACAAGGAGGTTGGGCTGTTGTATCCTGGGGGCGGCATGACCATAAAAAACTGCTGCATCAGTGGCACGAAACGTCCTAAAAAGAGTGATTGATCCACGCCTCAGCTCAAGCTCCTCATACTTTCGGTGACATCTTTCTACTTTTTATTTTCATCTTTAATTAATTGTTTTTTGCGAATCTTTTGTCTATTTTTCTTCTATTTATTTTACGAGGAACAACAAAACTTGCAAAGAATGGTTTGTTTACTATTTCGAGTTGTTATGAGTTCTTAAGAGTAAAACGGCCTAAGGTAAAATGGCATTATATTGTCTAGGCAAGGTGCATTTTCCCGCAACATAGCTTCATCTTTTGGTTGGTATTGCGGGGTAAACTAAAGACTAGAGCTTTGCTAACAAGTAGAGGTATGAGAATTGAGAAAGGGTGCTACTTGTATTGTAGATATGATGAAACTTGTGAGCATCTGTTTTTTTTATTGTAGTTTTGCCAAATAAGTGTGGAGGTTAGTCTTGGACTTCTTGAATATTCACAGACAACCAAAAAGGTGGAGTGTTAAATGGCTATTGTTAAAGAAGGCATGTAAAGGTTAATCGGTGCAGTCAAATAAGTTGAAGGCTGCGGTAGCTGCCACTATATATATGATTTGACAGAAAAAAATAAGAGAGTAACTCTTAGTAACTTTTTAGTTGGAAATGATGTATATAATGAGATAATTAATTTTTTAAAATTAAAGATCTAAAGAGTGTAATTTCACAGGTATACCTGAGAGGAAATTGTACATATCATTTGACGTTTAATGAAAAACTTGCTTTTTTTCAAAAAAAAAAACAAAAAAAAAAGAAGCTGAAACTCCAAAAAAACTTACCCAAATATATTCTTAAGAGTTTTGCTTCATTTTCTTCTTTTTTTTTTTTTTTTTTTTTTTTTTTTGAAAATTGATAATTCAAGAGTTTAACTTTTCAACGAAATTAAGTGGACTTTTTTGACTGAATTAGAA